CTTCACAATTCTGTTTATTTCCAGCCTTTGTTCATTAAGTTCATTAAATTTGTTTCTCCTGCACGTCTGCCCCAAGTCCTTCGTCCCATTGGTCGTGACGCGTAACATTAGCTGTTGCTGGCTGATAAACGTTATCAGTATTACTTTCTTGTCCTACATCCTTTTATGTCAACGCCACCACAATTATTGGGCTTTTTAAAGAAACTTCAGACACTCACTTGCTGTGAAATTAATATGACATTAATATGCACATTTGCCATCAACTGGACAGGGGTGGGAATTATTAAAAGTTATGGTAGACTTTTTCTGAGACATGACGAAAATACAGCAACAATATAGATAGTGGTACTGATTTAGCTCACTGAGATTTTACCGGAAATACATCAGCACCCTCATGTGCATATAGCGGATTCGGAGAGTAGCGTCTGGCTGCAGGCACCACTCTCACACCCCTTCAGGTTCATACATGAACAGAACAATTTGCTCCTCTCAAGTCTTGTCACTCTTAGGACCTAACATGCAGAAAAGAGAATAAAGTTAAAATAAAATTATCATCATGGAACTATATTGCTTCAGTACTATTTCAGTCCTGAGGTAAATGCATTTCATGTATCCAAAATGAATGACTCAACAGATAATGTGATAGATGTTTCCAAAATATTGTACCATTGACTAATTTAACTAATTTAATGTCCAGAATGTTTCAGATTTTGAAAGTTATCAATAATTACCTAGGCAGGACCTTCACAAGTAATTTTAGATTATTGCTGGTATCAATAAAATACTAAATTTACGTTTTTTTGTGAATTGTGATGCACAAAGAGTAAAACTTCAAACAGAAAAAAACTACATTAAAATTAATATAGAATCGATCGACATAGATTGTGCACAAACATATGCGTAGGACTTTTTTTTTTCCAAACACACCACACAGGTAAACTACACTTCGAAAACCCGTAAAACCGATAAAGAACTTGTTAGCTTGTTCTCTGCGCATGCGTCAACCCAACTGGGAGGGGCCTGAGACAGGCAGGACCTGAGAGTGGCACTGAGAGTCTGCAGCATATTATTGGAGTTTCCCTGAGGCACTCCTGGGGTGGGACTGATGGCGGTAATTTGCTGATTGGTTGACCATAAGCACCGTTGCTACCTTGGAAGTCACACAGAAGTGCAGGGAAGAAAAGCAGAAGTAGCAGAGCAAAAATTGAGCATGTTTTTGTAGCTCAATTACATTTTAAACATTAATGATATACTTTTGTGTAATATTGCTAGCGCTTATTAGCAGAATAACGTTAAATCGTTTTTTTTTTATTCTGTGAAAATGGAAAATCGATCTGCTGGCCAGGTTTAATAATGGATTATAAACATGTTGTGGGTTGTATAAATAAAATGCTTTATAAATAAAGGTTTGTGTCCCAATATGATTGTGATCGACCCCCCCAATATCTAACAAAAAACTAACCACTAACAAAATGCTCATTCATCATTGATTGTTTTGAGGTGGCAGTGTAGATCCTTATGAAACTATGAGCTTTTTGCCTCTCCCATGCTTATTCAGCATTAAGGTCACAACAGGGACAGATGCACCGACAGAATAGTGGCTGACCACATACCTTATGTTTACCTTTGTAAATTCATAATTTGGTTTTTATGTTTTACAAAGCAGCATTTAGCATAATGATTTTTTTTCTCTTAAGCACTACTTTGCTTTGTGACTTTTTCCTTTGAAATAAAACATCACATTGTTATTTTTGTAAATTGTATATTTACTTCCAAAGCATTTATCAGTAACACAATTCAGATTGTTGTATTGCATGTCAATTTAAGTGGTGTGCTTGAATTTTGTGTTGGTCCTCCTTAAATTTTCAGTAAGGGGCACCAGTGCTACTAGTGGAAACGGTTAGTCTGGGGCCCTGAAATTATGTAAGGAAAGGGAAAAGAGATAATGAAACTGGAAACCCAAAACTGTAAAAGTCTGACTGCAGTTGAATTAAATCAGGTCAACCAAGCAGAGATGGAAAGTTTAGGTCCAGAAAGCAAATCCAGACCAAAGTAATGTTCCAGCCAACCATTTGAACATAAAGAGTCACAGTCACAGAGTACTCAACTAGCTGGTTAATACAAAACATTGGTATGGATTTCTACTTTCTGGACCTGAATTTTCCACTTTTGCATCCAAGTGTCTGATGTGCAGAACAGAGAAGGTTAAAGTACAGGGATTTAAGTGGCAATTAATACACAGTCGCTTCTGGGATCCACAATTTGCTGAATTTACAGATGATTCTGCATAGCTTTAGCTTAACAGTTTATTTTCATGGGATGTGTAATTGTTCACTTGGTAACCATGACTCCATATACAGGCCTGTTACAAAATTAAAGACAAAATTAAAACAGCATTAAGCATAAAATCTTTATTGAAAGAAGGTGGGTGTTTGTGAATATAAATAGAAATGCTGATCCACTGCTGAATAAGAGTCCAGTTCACTATATAACTTTGTCAACATACTAGAAATGTACAGCTTAAGATTCACAAGATCACCGGAAGCACCTGTCTGAGAAAAGTATCCTTTTTAAGTCGTTTCTGTGACTTTGGCAGTAGCAACATGACATGACATTTAGCTTTCAATGCAATTACCGCCTTGCTCCTAAGAAATGTTACATGGGGCATTTAACCTTCCCTGAATGAGAAGTGTATGTCACTAGATGGCAATGTTCATTATCTATGGAGTACAGGGGGGATAAAATGGGCACCACACTGGTGTGTTTCAAAGTAAAGAATACTGCCACAGCAAGTTACGTCAATTATAAAGATATTTCTTTACAGACTAAGGACTCTCTGAAGTTAAAACCATTGATTATCACACCATTTGCACTGAAGAAGCATGGAACTTTTTCCAATGACAAACCATATCTCCTCTTTCAAAAAACACCTAGTCATGTAATTTGGCTCTATTTTGATAACTGTTTGTTTACTTCGACACTGAGCTGCTGCCTCTCCAGTGACATGTCTTCCCTTCTTTAAATTAGACCATTTCCTCATATTGCCTCTGTACTAAAGAAGGATGTGGATTAAAGCTCTGGAGGATACAGAATCTGCACCCAAGACTGCTTGTATGCTCCCAGTAAAATCCTTCATTGTTAGAATTTCATGAGCTAAGGCCTGACTTAAACTTGACTGGCATGTTCAGTAACACTTTCTATGAATGCCATGTCTATAAGAATCTATGAGCACTTCATAACACATTATAATGCATTCATAAAGCATTATAAACATGCCTATAAATATTTAGATAAAGGCATAGTACATTATAGCTATGTTTATTACACATTATGGATGCTTTTTGAAGCTGTCATCTATAATGCACTATAGGTACCTTCATAATGTAGGACAAAGCATCCTTAATTATTGTACTAACCATTATATTGCATTATGAAGGTATCCGAAATACATTTTAGATGACAGCTTCAACTAAAGTGTTACCACATGTTCTAATTATATAAAGATATATGTGTATATGTGTAATTAATTACTAAGATACGGCTAATTCATTCTTCATCAGATTCTTCATATTTTTTGATTGCTCCTCTGTATGCATGTATGCTTGTCCAGAGTGTTCTAAAGGAAAAGCTTCTGCATTGCATGTCAATTATGTCTCCGAATAGACATAAATTAGGGTTTGTTATTTGCCACAGAGCTTTGAATTGACTGTGAAGTTTCACCACAGTATCACCTAAATTATGATACTGCTCATTCTACTGCACAGCAGATAATGCAAGGTGTGTCAAATATATGACAATCCCCTTGGAACAAACAGGGTAAACGTTTGCAAGACCCTCCACTGTGTGATGGATATCGATATGACAGTCAGAATAAAAAATGTCCCTTCCTGTGCACACTCTTTGCAGTATTTCCTAATCAAAGAATAGACCAGGTTCATTTGGTGTCTGACACATATTATGTATCACATGCTTACGCTGATGAATAGGCACGCTCAGTGAAAAGTGTATCGATTTCTCTCCTCATTCTGCACTCTCTCTCTCGGCTTTGAGCAGTGGAAGGAGTAGGTGCACAAACAGTGTTGAGATGCCATGCGCCATTTCATTCACAAAGCCATGTTTCAGGCTCCCTCTTAACACTCAATAAATGTATCTTGGGCACTTATGAGCCGGACTGTTTTGGGAAATAAATCTCATGCTGTGGGGCAAGAGTAATGCTGCCAGCACTTATGCCTATCCTGCTGTCACCTGCCACTGTCTCTGTTTGCTTCTCATCTCCTTCACGGTTATGAAATTGCCATAAAAGGGAGGGCTTAGTGATACATCACAGATTTCAATACAGCACCATATCAATGACTGAGTTTTTCACATTCCCAAGGTGTGATTTATCCACATTTACATATTGAAAGCTACAACAGCTTTGCAAATCTGAAATTCGTATTTTTTCTGCCGTCTCAGAGAACAGAAGACTAATTTTAAATGCAGGATGACTAAACACTGAGTTAGTGTTACTTTTCAAGTGTTGCATTGTATAATGACAGTTACAATTAGGGTGTACAAAATGGAATGCTGAAATCAATAATTTATTTGTCTTCTGATGTCGAAAAACTTGGATTTAATTGTTTTAGCTTCCAAAGTTAAATTCCAGTAATGGTATTGAATCATGTTAATCTCTAACCATGCCATGGTGCATGGCTGTAATCAAACTGGAAAAATTCCCTTTGTCACTGAAGATTCAGCCTCAAAGAACTCGAAGTGCTGAAAAAGCAATGGCTTTCGCCTAAAGAGTCACAAAATATTTCACAGGAAATGCTTTGTCAATTTGCCTCCTTAACCTTCAGCAGGTTCTGTCTGGGCCGCAGACAACACTCATTCTCTCACTCTTTATTTAAGGCAATAAGTAAAGCAACATCTAATTAGGTTAGTGGTTGAAACAACAACGTAAAAAACAAAAAAAAAATCAAACAAAAAAAGAAAACAATTACAGACATTGATTTGCTTACAAAGGAGATTAGAAGCGGCTTAGCTTGCAGGTCAGGTTTCCGGCAATTCAGGGGATTGCAGCCAATGCCATGTACTCCGGTTATCCAAGTAGTCCCATCTCAGCCCCCATGAAAGGGCAGCGTAAGACAAGAATATTAATGGGCTTGAAAGTGGCACACAGGCTCGTCCCATACTCTCTTTTTTTGGATTTGTATACCATCTGTTGCCACTTCACATGCACACACCATCCATTATTTATGAAGACGTAGTGTTTCAAAATTATTTAAAATTAGATTGTCTTGGTTAAAAAAAATATACATTTGCACAACCTTTCATTTCAGCTGCAACTAAGCAACCATTACAGAACAGAGAAACACTACCAGGACATATGTTTTACATCATCTCTTTCTTTATCATTTTCATTCATGCACAAAATATCCTTCAAATGACTTTACTTTCATGAAATTATTGAAATGTATTTTCACAATTTTCAACGCAAATTAAAGTTGCTGAATAATAATAATAATAATAATAATAATAATAATGTTTCCCACTACTCATTCACACTTCTGACAGTCATCCATCCAACAAACAAAATATTTTGAATAAATTAACAATATATACACCTGCCTTTATACAAACCACATCCATGCATATTAAAAATGTATGTACATGTATACATATACATGCATGTATACATGCATACAAATTGCACAAGCAGCAGCAATAGTGTAGAAATACATACAGAGTATACATAAATCTGAGAGGGAGAAGAGGTGTTATTCCAGTGGGCTGTTGTTGGCAAGTCACTGGTTAAAATGATTAATTCCACGCTACATCACAACAAGTGTGTGGGATTGAACTTCAATAGGTCTCAAGAGAACTGGAAAAAAAACTAAATAATTTATTTGGTGCCATTAATATGAATCTGGATATAAATATCTGATGAGTTTAATGCAAACACATCTGGTGTGTGGGGTTAGCTTTGATTTGCTGACACGTCTATTGAATAAATCCAGCTCCTCCAGGCAATAATAATCATTGGAAGAACCAACTTTATGGGTGAATGAATTTTGAAGCATTCTATATCATCTTAGTGTCATAATGGTCACAGTATTTTAGATGACCTTATCGATTTAAAATATACGAATGTGAGGGTTGCTCACCCGGTTGTCCCACATATCCAGAGTAGGGGACTGGAATCCGTCCTCCACTATGTGTGGGTGGCATTTGCATGTTTTCCACAGGTCCAGATATTTCCACCTGCAGTCCAAAGACATGCAATTAGGCTAACTGCTATATCTACATTATCCATAGTGTGTGACTGTGCGTGGGTGTGTATATGCCCTGCGATGGACTGGCATCCCATACACGGTATGTTCTAGCCTTGTGCATATACTGTTTTACATAAGCTTCAGCTCATCCCGCAACCCTGACTGGCTAATAAGTTAGAATATGGATGGATGATATAAATGTGTTCATAATTGTGTTCAATTAGCATTAGTAATTGTGTTAAATTAGTAATTATTCGAAAATGCATTTTTGAAGAACGCAGTTTAGGATTACGTTGTGTTCCAGTTTGGCTTTTAGAACAGTCTATTGCTGTACTGCAGATGTTTTTCAAAAGTAATTTCAATCAATTAATACACTAACATCATCCACTCTAGGGGTTTCAGGAATGTGGTCAACAACTTGCAGAGTTAATAAAATGTTATGTCACAGATTACCTGGTTTTATTAAATGTGATAAAATAAACTTTTTGTTATAAAAATGAAATGATCACCGTGCGTGTCGGAAACTTACTGAACTTTATTCCTTTCTGATTATGCCAGCCTTATGCACAGCTCATTAATGAAATATTACCCATTTTCTTCTGGGTTGCATTAAAAAAACTGTGTCACAAGCCATAAAAAATTAAATAGATAAATACTTAAAGCCAACAGAAATACCAGAACAAAATTATGAATTTTTAAAATATTTAACCCCTCTTGCATTCTAATACAGCATTTATGTATTTCTACATTTGTGTTTACATGCAGATGTAAATGTCCAATTTCTACATTTCAATATCTATGTTTGAAAAAAATGTCTTTGTTGGAAAATGACTGCATTACAAAAACTAGGATTTCAGATTAAAAAAATCTGTTTTTAAAAGCAGTGACGGAGATAGAGTCCTCTTGAAGTGTGGATTTGCTGAAAAAATGAATAAAATAATAAACTTATCATGGACAACTTTTTACACCCCTATTTGAGGTGCTAAACTTAGTGACTGACATTGGAAAATGTATCTGCCATGGATAAAAATATATATTTTTTAAAAAGTACAAGTGATTAATATGGTGTTGGTGATGGTTTTTGTCCTTTCAGTAAACTGCTTCTGATGGTTCAGCCCAGTAACCCAATGAAACACAATGAAAATGAGACACAATCATCACTCTGTGTTCTTTTTTTAAAAAGTTTCCTTCACCAGAATGTAAAAACTACCAGCAATGCAACTGAGTAGTGATTGAAAGAAAAAAAAGACAAACTACAAAAATAAACAAAACACATAAAATAAAAAACTCTTCAAACACTTAAGAATTCAATTCACTAAGAAAATATACCCAAGCTAGGCTCAGAGCCATTGGGCTCTAAGAGTAGTTGCCTGAATCCTGCCCACATCTGCTCTCCCCAGAGGAGTTTTACGTCCCAGTTATATAATTATGGTCCCTACCCCAGCGACAATTACAACCAGATTAAAATCAATTAACAATTCCATTTCATATTTCACTGAAGACATAATACCATACCTATAATCAACATGTTTCATTCAATACACTAGGAAAATATCAGCAATAATAATATTCCAATCTCTACACTAATGCTTGTTGTCAAGTAGACCACAACCCCCTAGGAAGGTTCAGAATGGTAGATCTCCTGCTTCACCCTTCATAAAGCTAATTGGAAACTCCCTCTTCCTGTGTGGTCGCCCACAGCAAGACACAACGTGGAGGTAAACCTATGATTGCACTTAACCAAACAATAAAGTCACGTTCAAAATGTAGCCAGTCATACAAAATTTCACAAATACACAAGTTACACAATTATTCATGCTGCACCAAATGTAACCTCCACCTTGCCAGCAACTATGTAAATTAGAATGGAAGAGACACATAGCCACTGCATACTCACTCTAGAGGATACTTAAGACACTACGTATCATTGTTTACATTTTGAACTTACCTACCATCCAGGTGTGCTGGGGGGGCATGGATACCATGGAAGAATCAGGAGGCTCAGCACTTGACAGGGGCCCTTGAATACGTAAAATTAGGTGGGAGGGGGGCACATGGTAATATTTTGTCAGGGGGCCCAGAATTTCTAGATACACCACTGCTTACACGTAATTAATCAGTCTTGCTGAATTAAAATGATTAGATTAAGGTTAAACTGCAAAACAATTATATAGCATTAAGGAGGATTACCAAATAAAATGATTTCATTATAGAGCAAATCATCATGGTGTTGCAGGAGAAGTCAATGAATGTTTCATTGTATTTGTATAAAATGAGTTTGAGGATGCAAAATATAAGTCTAATATTTAGAAGGAAACGAACACTAATCAGAGTGTGAGACAGTTTTAGTATTTTAATGGAGAAAAAAATGAATGGGTATTGACGCCTGTAAACCTTCACTGCATGTTTGTTGTTGTGCCTCAATATGTCCTCCGTTAATGGAACTATAGAAAGAAAATCTCATTTTACCTGCATAACTGAATAAGGAGAGTTTGGTAAGTGGAACTGACATACCATGAATCTCAAACACTGATGCTATATATATCCCACGTATGTCAAACAAGGAGCTAAAACAGGTTCATTTAAAATTCTTGACTATTACATAACAGTCTTAACTACACCCCCAAACGCAACATACACCAGCCCACTTTCAAGCCCAATGGACCAGCACAAGTTGCAGCATATATTTTCTCATGAGGGGTATGTATGCAGCTTTCAAAAGTGCACCTGGTGTGGAAAAAATATATATATTGACAGCCGTTGATTTGCAGAGTTTTTTAGAAGTAGTACTAGTAGGCTAAGAAGGTAAGTCCTGTTCAGGGGTTTGGCCCCAAAAGCTCATGTTAGCAACTTATGTAGTTGGAACCATTGAGGTGCATGTTCCAATTATGTAAGTTTAAAAAACAGAGAAAAAAAATGTGTTTTATGGCCCCATTAATCATATCATAATTTAACTATTGCCTAATTGAGGTTTTGGAGTGGTTTTCCATCACATTCCATCCAGAGTAACCAAACAAATACTTACAGAGACATTGGGATTATGTTAACACCCAATTCAGTAGTCGTGGAGACAACTAAGATGCTGCTGCCATGGTAACTGACATTGGCAGTTGAGCCTGCTGATGGGAGGTGACTACAAACTCTACTCCGAGTCAGCCAAGGCACACACTAGCAGGGGACTGGAAGTCTTATGTAACAGCCGCTGATATTAACAACCCAATTAAGCAAGCAGGCAAACAAACACACACATACAGTACATATGCATGAATGAATGAATGAATGAATAATGCAAGAAAACAATTTCAGCTCCAGTGTTTCCCCTAGGTTTACAGCTTTTTGGGGGGGCAGAGGGACATTGACAGGAATCATGTGTTTCTTGTAATGGCAGCAGTCAAAAAAACACAAATATTTTTGTCTGCTTTTCAGGTGGTTGATGCGACATATTTTCCGACGCACACTCACTGTCCGCTGGTGGGAGTGTGCTCACCCGTGTGTGCGTGCACGTATCGGGGCGGAACTGCACCATGCGCAATACAGGGAGCAGAGGAGAATTGTAAACGCGCGACCGTGTAGACACAAAAATGACAAGCTGTTGTGTAAATAAGATAAATAACATAAGGCTATTTAGTTTGTTTAATAAAAGGACAATGTATAGACCTGTTCTATAGGGAAGGTAACCTTAAATGACTTCTGTTGTGATCTGGCGCTATATAGAAAATAAAATTAAATAAAATTAACTTGACCTTCAAAGGGGAGTGGGGCGCCCCCCTAATATAATGGCAGGGGAAACACTGAGCTGAGAATTTCCTTTCTTGATTATATAAATGTCTACTGCTAGCTATGTAGAGAAACCAATATTCCAAGCATAATCTATTTTTTACGGTCTTACAAACAAGCATATTGTATTAATAAATACAGTTCATGTTATCACCAGAGCATTATGATTTTACACAAAAATGTATGAGGAAAACTTTTTTTACTTTTACTAAGATAGAAACTCAATTTTTCACATGAAACAAAACTGCATCTCTTATCCCGAGTAAGAATTGCATGCCCCCGCCCACCATGAAAACTAAACTGTGAGTCAAATTGGATCCTAACTGCCTAAATTGCATTATTAATCAACGTTGTATAGAAGAATATAATCCATGAAATAGTCCATGTTTTTAATATTAGCAATGACATACTGTACATTTTGTTACTCATATCCTAATGTGCCCCTCCCACACACACACTGATGAGCCAAATCATTATGACCCACATTAAGGTTTGGGTTAAAGTTAAATGGATGTTGAAATGGCTAAGCTGACACAAACCAGAATTAAAATACTAAATAGTGTTTAAAATGACAGGATACCCTGAAAGTGTGTTCCTTTACATAAAACAACATCAAAACTTGCCTGTACTCAACTGAGTAGTATCAGTGCCAAACTAACATCAATCTATTCATTTACTGTATGGTACCTGCTTATTCTATGCTGAAAGCTATAGGCAGAAGGGAGGGAATAACAACACATTGCAGGACACACTCAACACAGTGTGGGAGAACAGAGAAATCCCCACAACACAGGGAAAGCATGCAAATTCCACACACATGGAACCAGGGTAGAGATTTGAACTCTAGTCTCAGAAGTATGAGACAAGCGTGCTGATCACTGAACCACCATGCTAACACCAGTTTCAACACAGACATATTCCTTCACATTTCCTGAATCTAGCCTGTAGGACTGTGGTCTCTCTTGAATGACCTTAGGAATAATATTGTTGGCATGCAGTATGAGTGAAATCGTACAAGGTTTTGCCCAACTTTCTTTTGTATTGGACTACACATTTTAAATAATATAAGGACAGCATGATGTGTCAAAGTGTTTAGTGGAAAACTAACATTCCAGTAATTAAAGAAATAAATTATATAAATATTAAATGTACATTTGTACAGAGATTAGTTGCTATGTGGTTTACTGTACTTTTAAAGACCGACCCAAATATTTTAAGATTTGAAAATGCATACTTCTTTATCTTGTATTTTAAACAGAACTGAGTCTAAATAAGTCTTTAAATAATGGAAAAAGTAGAAGTGCAGATTTATAAATGATACTTTTAAACTAATGCCCTTTAATTGACTAGTACTATTTTTGTTGTTATTCCATTTCATACTTCTTTCCATTGATATAACTAAGTTTATAACATTTGCCTGTGTAATTTATTTTCTTCTCCTACATATATAAACAGCTAATATGGTCATCCATTTTGATATTAGTAGATATGAATGATCAAATATCCATCCATCCATCCATCCTTTTTCCTACCACTTTTCCTGGTTTGGGTTGCGGAGGTGATCAAATTTTTAATCATCACAATTACAGTTAACTTAATTTTTTCATAAAATTATGTATTTGCTGCTTCTCAGTCTTTCATGTCCAGTTTACAGGTATCACAGCATTCATCCTGCCTGTCCTGGAATGTGCTTCTGTTTAATAATGGAGTGACATAAGCAATCCATATAATTCATAGTGACAACAAATCTGTTCAATGCTAATATGTGTTTTCTGCATGAGGAAATTACTTAAAACTCATCATGAAAAGGTAACAAATTAATTGTTCTGTTGCACAGATTGTGCTTTTAGGGCTTTTAATAATCACCTTTAATCATCAGAGAATTACAATTAGGTGTATGCCCTATTCTTTGTTTCATTGATTTACTGACATCTGCAAAAAGTAGCTAACTTAAGCCGGTGTACCATTAGTACAGGCAAGGAAAATGCCGCCAACAGAATCTGCAAGTGCACTGAGAAAGTGTGGCAGTGATCCACAGCCCCACCCACTACCCACTCCAATTAACATATATTTGCATGTTGTGATCCATCCATCCATCGTCCAACCCATTTATCCTACTGGGTCGCGGGGGGTCCAGAGCCTATCCTGGAAGCACATCCTGGCAGGGAACAACCCTGGATGGGGGGCAACTCCAATTAGCCTCAGCATGTCTTTGGACTCCCCCACGACGACATGGGGAGAACATGCAAACTCCACACACATGACCCAGGCGGAGACTCGAACCCAGGTCCCAGAGGTGTGAGGCAACAGTGCTAACCACTGCACCACCATGCCGCCCCTCATGTTGTGATCTTGAAAATGAAATCACAAAGTAGGAAATGAAAAGCCAAACTGGATAAAAAAAAAAAATACAAAAACGTTCTTTTCAAAGTATCTCAGGTTAAACAACCCTTTATCTAATGGAAACAATAAAAGATTCTCTACAATTTCAACTGTTGATGATTTGCAAAAACAATGCAAAACTTGCCTTGTGGAACACATCCTAAAACAGTCATACAAGGAGCTTGGTCTGCAGTGCCTGGACTTCTGGAGACATCTTCATCCCATCCAGCTCAAGAAATAGTTTTTGGAACACTTTCCATAAGTGTATTTCAGCTCAAATGGGTAAGTCATACGGGCACATATGAGTTCCATCAGATGAGAGCATGCTTTACTGATATTCTTGTAGTCTGCCAATACCTCCGTGTCCTCAATCACAATGGCAACATCAGTTTCATCACAAAGATCTTTAGAACATGCAGTGTAGGTGTCTTTCATGTCATCCCTGCTGACATCATGCAACATACACAGAACAAAACCATTTTAACAGCATAAAATCTATTTTTTTTCTCTCTAATTTTGCACTACTGTCTGCTGTGTTGCAATATCACTTTACTATTTACCTGTAAATTTCATCTGTCGTTCTCCTTTAATTGCACTTAAATACTACTGTTGATTACAGTGAAACACAAAAAAATGTATTTCATCCAAAAAATAAATGTATTTAGAAGGCAAAATACAATTTATGAACGAAATCACCGTCGCATTCATGAACACTGATACATTAGCTTTCTGTCCAGGAAACTGCAATGTGCTAATTTCAGTTCTGCCCAAAACGTGAAATATTCCTTTTAATTTCTCTGCATGAAAGTAAAGTCTTTATGCTTTCTTGGATAAAATGAAACTGAAGTTGGTCATTCTGAGGACAAAATTCAGCAAGACTACTGGATTTCGTCATTAAATAATGCTTTTTGTGGCACAGAATGTCTTTTGTACAGGAAAATGACACTTGGTGCCCCATACACCTCAGCATAACTAGTATTAAGCGCCTTTCTTCAGAAACACAAGATATCGACCAAGTTCAGCAAGTCAGAATGTTGCAGCACAAACTGCTTAGTTCACCTACTGTATGTATAAAGTATAGTTTTGCCACCTTTGATTTGTAAAAAACCAGGACATTGTTTTTTTTTTTTTGGGGGGGGGGGGGGGTGGTGGAACATACACCATATTTCCAAATATACTTTTACATTTAACATCTGTATTATACAACCTAAACCTAGTATCTACAAAAGGTATACTACCATTAGCAATAAAAACATATTACAGTAAAACGTATTGCAACGCTGGGCAGACCAAGGCACCGCGGAGACGAATGATAACGACGAAAGACGGATTCACACGAAGTGGTTCTTTAATGTAGTCTTTATATGGACCCGCACTTCAGCAACAATAACACAGCCACCACAACCTATGGAAACGCGGGGAGGTTACACAATAGACGGTAAAGCAAACAGTATCATATTTAGCATAAAAATCCTCCAGTCCAAGTATGTTAACATTTCGATCCATATGTACCACTGACTGAATACGTCTTGCCATCCAGTCATCAACACAGATCGAGCAGCGCCTCTCAGTCGGCTGCACAAACTGGAACCGCCTCCATGACGACAGAACTTTGCCCTTATTGGCTGAAGAGTTTAGTTACACGAATAACGTTGTATCCCAGGAAGTCCCGATGCGTTATCTGCTCTTTCTCCCGAGTATCACGTAAAGCAGTGAGAACTGGTTTTCAGTTAATTTACCTGGTAAAATAAAGTTTAAATAAATGACATAAATGCTCTAATAGTACACGTAAGTTACTGGTTTATTTATTGTTAGTTACTGCAGTGTTGCGCTGCTTTATTTTTCATCGTTATCTTCTGGCAGTGCTGCCATTGTAGTCAGCTCTCGCAGATTACAAGTAGAAGTTGTCCGACTTGGCTGCAGTCAGTTTATACTCCACCCCTGCAGCCGCCGGCAGATCTCGCTCCACAACACGTCAGCTGCAGACAGACCTAAGGCCAAGTCGAACGCACCCTTAGTTTCCACAGCCCGACTCCCAGCAAGGAGCTTCCCGCGTGGCTCGAGGGCTCCTTGCGGCAAACTGGTCACACAACACATTAACCAGAATATATTGAAGGCATGTTTACTTCGGAAGATAGAACAGAATAGGGCAGGATCGCACGTGTGCACACTGATTCAAGAAGGCATTAGGACAAAATGCGCTTTGTGCGAGAAGTGTATATAATCTGCGTTTGACTAAAATAAACTACTAATAAGCAAAGTGTGGCCCATCACTATTCTGTTCAGTCATTCATATAATTGGTCCAGCACTGTTAAAAGCTGACAGAGTACTAGAGTGAAGCCTACTCCAAATCTAGTACGTGTACTTCATTATACCAGCATAACAATTACAACACGTAGCCTAGATATATTGAAAGCAGGCATACCTGTTGGAGCCGTTCTATTACAAATTTCTTTATTTTTTCATAATCCATCTCGAGATGGCGAGAAACACTCCGTGCTAAGACTCCTTCGATCTCAATGCAAGTCGCACCGATGAGAAGCAAGTCCTTCGCCACGTCGATGAATTCTTGTCCTTCTATAAAAACAAAAGGTCTCAAATCTTGCCTCCACATGCGAGCCATCGTGTTCCTGAGCCTGATCTTCACAATTTCTGGAACTTCTCGCTGCACTTCATTACCAAGCGATCTGCTGCTACAAGTGTGTCTCGACATGCTAATTGTCCCGGAGTCAGGTGCATATTTGACTATGACTTTGCACGTATTACAAGCAGCGTAGGGAGTTGGTACTCCATCGCACTCTACTCCATCTTACAAACTTTTTAAAGTTGCGGACTTGCCCAACAGATCCTTAAAAGTCACGCAGGGATCATATATACTCCGACTTTACGTTGCAACGCCGTTTTCTCTGACTCCATGTTTTAAACTGACTGTCGCCGGCCGTTACCCACACGTCACGCGCTAATCAGGTGACCGCTTCCATTCGATCATCAATATTTATC